TATATATATATATATATATATATATATATATATATATAAATTTTTATATTAAGAAAACATCTTTATATTTTATTTGAGTAAATGTACGCTTTCTTAAAACCGCTTTGGAAATAATGGTTTAATCTATTAAAAAGCAAAAAAGTTATTATTTATTAAATAAAAAATGAAACAATTGCTTTCATGTAAAACTATTGTTTAAAAAAAATATACATTTACTAAATTGAAAAGCTTTTTTTCCGATATAAAAAATATGTATATTAGTATAAATAAATATGTTATTAGCATCCTTTCTGAATAGATATTTATTAACCACCAAACAAATATACTTTATTTTTTTTTATACTTCTCTCAGTGTACATATTGTGCATTTAAAATATATAGTTGTATTTTTTCAATTTTATCCATTTATAGTTGACATTATTTGTGAAACGGATAAAATACAACTTCCAAGCTTGTATCTTTATACACTTATGCTCAATATATTTATTCTGTAGGCAATAATAAATTTATTTGTACTAATATATACATTCTTATATCGAGAAAAATATTTTCTCAGTATAAAAATATGTATATAAATAGTACAAAAAATAAACATATTATTAAATAAATTTTGAATAAATATTTATTATCCACTGCATATAAATACTTACTATATTCATCTATATATTTACAAACACATTGAGAAAAAATACTTGAAAATTTTTGTTTGTAAAATATGAAATTTATTTCTGTGAAGTAAACTTTTATCCCACAAATAAATTTTCAAGTATTTTTCTCAGTGTATATTTTATTGTATGTTTTATACATTTTTTTCTTTCACTGTACATATCGTGTCTAAAATATCTGGTGGCATTTGTTCAATTTTATCCGCTTATAATTAACATCACTCGTGGAGAATTAACTTCAAAGTTTACATGTTCGTATCCACTTGTGCTCAATAAATCGGCCACGAGATATCGACTGCGCAAAAGTACGACTCAAAACCGCGTGGCGATCCGTTTTGTTTGTTTATACACGGTGTTCCGCGGATTACATCGCGTAACGTTACATGCGCGTACGCATCGGGCTTTCCATTGGGCGCCTATCGAGCGAAGAAAGTGTCCGGCGACTTCGAACGGTGTTCGCGGCCAGTGAAAGTGTCGGAGCGAAGACGAGAGCCGGTCGGACGAGCCGGCTTTTCGTCGGACCATATACTTGGAGGGTTATGCCGTTTATTTTACGGCCGCATTACCTAAACATCGGCTTCTCGGCGGGCGGGCCCGGTATTATGCTCGAAATACTTTCCATACGAATAACTCTCTTTGTACTCGCTGTCATGTAACCCCGTCCGGCCTTACTCTTCCGCCGCCGCGCTCGCACATTATATTACACGCTCACAAAATTGTAGCGGCGATTACGCAAACCACGGCGATCGCGAGTAAAGCACGGTAAACGCTAAGCTTAAACAACGATCGTAGAAAAGACGATACTTCGAGAGAAGCGATTTCCGAAGTCACGTAATGACGTGACGGCAATCGCGATCGCTCGCCACGGTGTGTGCCGCGTTTACGAAAAGTCAGGCGTAACGGAACCTCGGCGAAACGCGTAACGGGAAAGTCTTCGAAATACGGGCCCTTCGCCGCGTGTAGTAAGTTCGTGCGAAAGAAAGTTCTATGAAACTGACGTAATATTACAGCAGAGTTGAGAAAGTTACTTTACAGAAGTAACGCGTTATCGTTGCTTGTTACCCAATGAAAAAAGTAACCTATTGTATTTGTTACCTATTATAAAAGTAACTCCTTGTCGTTATTGTTACTCAAAACATAAGTTGTTGTGATTTTTTTTTGCTATTTTCTTCACCGACTTTGGAAGACCTCCTTTTAAAATTTGCTTCTGCCTGTCCTATGTACATGTATTCTAACGATTGTATTTGTTACCGTTATTGAATGAAATTGTGTTACTAATAAAAAAAATAAAGTCGTTAGTCGTTAAAAGAAAAAATTGGAAGATCGTATGGGAAAGAATTAACTTGTAAGCCATTGTCCACAATTTTGCTTCAAGACGTAAACCGTAAGAAATTGACCAACTACACTCGATTATTCTTCTAAAAATCGATCATGGTTGGTCAATTTCTTACGGCTTACGTCTTAAAGTAAGGTTGTAGACAAGGGCTAACGGCGACGGCGCATTACAAGTAACACGTTACTTCACAATCCTGTACAAAGATATCCAGAAGTAATCGAGTATTTTAAAATAAAACACATATATAAAAGAATAAAGATAAAGCTTTTATTTTTTAATTAGTCAAGTAATAAATTATGTACAACTTATATAAATAACACATCTAGAAAATACTGTTTGTAAATGCTGCACAGTTCAAGTGGAAACTGATACGAAAAAGAATCGCGTAAATCTTTGATTACTTGTAGGTTTTAAAACAATACAATAATAAATATCACCTTTTTAATTAATAATTTAATAAGTTGAATATTTTATCTAAAAGTAACACATTATATTGTAAAACTCAAGTAAATTCTGATAAGAACAAGAGTTTTGTCGATATTTGATTATTTATGAGTTCCCTTAATAACACAACAATAAAGATTATTATTTTGCATTTTAATCAATGATACAATAAGTTGAATATCTCACTCAAATAACACACTAAGAAAATACTATTTGTATACTGTACAGCTCAAGTAAAAATTGATAAGAATATATGAGTCACATAAGTACTTGATTACTTATGGGTACCTCTAAAATGCAATTTAGTAACGATTTTAACTTTTTTATTAAAGAGAGCGGTTAAGCTCTCAAAGGTTTTTAACTTTATTTTGTGACATTCGAAATCTTAAATTATGTTTGATAAAATTATAGCTATTGATCAGTAGATTAAAGAAACATAAGTATCAAAGTAATGTGCTTTAGTATTTGGAAAAAAATAACATCAAAAAGATATGTATTCTTTTGAAATAAAAAGAATTATTAGGACTTATAAGACTCTTACTCTAACATGTAAGAAATATTGCAAAAATGTGAGATGAAAGTCTTTATCAATAAAAAAATATGGACTATAAATGCTAATGATAAAATATTTATTAATTTAAGATAACATTTTTACCGTGCTTCGATTAATTTAATCGTCGATTAATTCCTTAGTGACTAGCAAGTAGCTATTAGTCAATTTTGCTAGTTAC